TGGTTGTTGGGAGGGGATGTGTGGGTGACGGGAGCGGCGGCGCCGCCCTGGGCGGGACACAGGGGTGCAGCACACACAGTATGACGTAGCAGGAACAGAGAGGGATGGAGGGAGGGAGGGAGGAGGGAGAGGGGGCGCATGCAAGGGGCCTGAGCCCGAGGCCTGTGGCAGGGGGCTGACCCTACCACGGGCCTCACACGCAGCGCCCGCGCGCTGCGGCGCGCGCCGCGCCCCGCCACCATGCCCAATTGCGACCCTCGCCGCAGCAGGGTGATGCCACAAACCCCCTAGATCCAACTGCCACGCCAGCTGCACCCGGACTGCTGCGGCAGCGCCGGAATGCGCACACACACTTGGTGCGCGCGCCCGCGGCTGGGCGCACACGCGCGCCCTCCAATGCACCCCGCATTGCCGCAGCGGCAGACACCCACCGATCGAGTTGTCGCCGCGGAAGCCGTGGGCGGCCAGGGCGATCTCCACGCGGCTGATGAAGTCATCAACGCCCAGGGCGTTGGGGAAGCTCTTGAGGACCAGCTCGTGGCGGCGGGTGAAGTAGGCGTCGCGCGAGTCGGTCTCGAACACCTCCCTGTCGCCGTTCATGGTTACCGCGGCGCCCGCGGCCTCGGGGTTGACGGCGGAGATCCAGGCCTCATGGTAGGCATCGACATCGGCGAGCTTCTGGGTGGTGGCGAGCGCGGTGCTGCCGTTGGAGCCGAAGGCCTTGGGCGCGGCCGCGCGGGCGGCGCGGCGGGCGGGGCCGCGGCCGGGGGCCGCGGCGCGGCGGCTGGCGTTAAGGGTCTGCATTGTGGCTGCGGGGAAGGCGGGACGCGCGGGGAAGAGGGCGGGCGCGGGCTGCGAGGCTCCGGTGCTCGTAGTAGAGAGCGGGTCTCTGCAGCGGGAGGAGGAAGCGTGGAATCGCAGATGCGACCGGAGAGAAGTATTGAAAAGTACCAAAATGCGCCGGCTCAAATGCAAAGCGGAGTCTCGAACGGCGAGTCCACAAACACACCAACCCTCGCACCGACAGAGGCCCACCCACACGCACGGAGGTCCCACGACACTCACATGTGAAAATTCTATAGAATCCCACCATTAAAATTGCTATGAAGCCCGGGCGTGGTTCCGGCATGATGCTCGGGGCCACGCTGACTCCTGCCACATGCGTCCATGGTGTTGGATTTGGGGTGTGCCCGCTCGGCCCGCTTGCGCCAGTCGCTGCATGTCACAGAAGCAAAAATTTTTACACGATTGGACCGACTACTCCCCCGCAAATCCTGGATCGTCACCACTGAAGCAGCGGCGGTCGCGTGGTGCGCCGCTGTTTGCCCAATTTCAGCGCACCACGCCCGCATGGAGGCCCCTCTGCACCGCATTACTGCTAACATCGACTAAACAAATTACCTGGCAGCCGCTGTAGCATAAGCGAGGCAAGGCATGGACTTGTCGAGCCGGTTATTTGTTCTAGTGTTGGGTATGGCCTGAGTACCTGACCGCCGCACAGGCCTGGTACGATGCGGGTACCCGGTGCCGAGTGGGCAGGTCGGCCCCCCCAGCACGCCACCAGCCAGCCACCCTAGGCACCATACGGCCACCAACGCATGCACGCTGCTGCAGTGTTTTCAAGCGTCGTAGCGGCTGGCCAACTCTTCATCCGCCCACTCCCCATGGGGCTGGCAGCAGCCGGCTGCGCTTCGTCGCAAATTCTCGACACTAAATGCAGGTCAGGTTTTGGCTTTTGGATGGATGCCCGATGCTGCCATCACAGCAGGCTCTGCTGGCGCCGCAACCAAGGCTGCCAACAACGCAAGGCGGCCGCGGGGCGCGGCCGCTGTTAGGAGGGAAGCGTAGGCCAAGCAGAGGGCAAGAGGGGGTGGCGGCGGGGTGAACACCCGGGAAGATGTATGGTAGGGGGCCGCTCCGGCCGCTCCATACTTGTCGCGCCTCACATGAGAAGACCAGCGGCACGCAGCCACGCCACCTGGCAGCGCCGCCGACAGCCCACGCAAGCATGCACCTGCGAGCGTTCCAACACAGCGCTGCGCGTTTGGCATTTCACGCACCCACTGGAAGGGCGTGGCGGGCAGGGCGGGAGCTTGATGCCATCGGGTCAAGCCAGGGATAGCTTGATGTGATGGGGCGCTGATTATTCGCAGCGGGCGCTCAGCAGTGCGCGCACGCGTTGGAGCGGATTGGTCGTTTGTGAGGGCGTCGCGGCCGGTTTGGCCGACGCAGACGCTGATGCCTCCGCCGAATGGGGCCGCGCATTCACAGCCCAGGAACTTTAACGAACGCCGGCAGTGTTGCTGCTGCCCGCACCGCTACCGCACCAGCAGCTAGTGACGCCCCCTTCACACACCCTGCAGTGAGGGCTCTGCTTGCTGACGCGCTCACATCTGGCCGCACCGCGCGCTGGCCGGGGCGGGTGCACTGCATGGCATGGCATGTAGGGCAGCTGATTGGACCCGTTCGCCGCATCTCGGCCGCGCTGAATAAAATGCCCTGATCTGCGGGACCATGTAGTACGTTGGTGAAGATTGCCCGGCTAGTCACAAACGTGTGTACGCGGCAAGCGGCGGCGAAGCAATCACTCGCCGCACAAGCAGCAAGCAGCACCGCGCCCATCAAGACTCGTCCATGGGGGAGCCTGCCGGCGGTGTCGGGGCGCGTGGCAGCGCCGGCGCGGGCGCGATCGGCGCAGCTGATGCAGGGGCGCTCTGGAGCGCCTGCCCAAACGCTGCCGGCGGCTGCGCTGCGCTCGCGCCCAAGAACCTTTTTGCGCCATTGACGGGCAGCGGGGGCTGTAGATTGGGAGTCGAGCCCGCTGGCGGCACTAACGTGGCGAATGTGGCCTCTGGGGTGGCGGCCGGCGCCGCAGACAGCAGCACCCCGACAGGCCCAAGCACAGGCGCGGCGACGGCTGCGGCGTTTGGGGCGGCAGGCGGCGCCGGTGTGGCAACTGGTAGGGGGTGAGGCGCAAAGCCTACGGCAGTCCCCTGCGGCCGCCCAAGCCCCGGTGTGGGCAGCAGTGCCGCTGCGTGGCCGCTCGCGGCGCCGCCACGGCGATGCGCCTGCGGGGCCGCAGCCACCGCCGCGGGCACGGCCGCCGCGACATGAGGGGAGGCGGTTGCGGCGGGGGTTGCAAGGGGCACAGCCGAAAGGGACGGGGTCGCTGAAGGGGGCGCGGCAACAACGGGCGTGGCGGCGGTGGTGCCCGCTATAGCTGATGGCGCGCCGGTGAAATGGAGGGCGGGCGTGAGTCCCTCCGCCCCGGCTGCCATGGGGGCTGGCGGTGCGGCCGCGGCGGGGGCGCCGTTGGTTGTGGGGGCCGCGTGCGTGGTGGCGGCACCCGCGGGTGCAGGCACGATTTCCGAGCCAAGGCCTGGAAGGGCGGGCTGCTGCCCCGACATCATCGTGGGAATTTCTACAGTATACTATCAAAGTTGAAGAATGGCGCGCACACCTTTCGCGCTTTCGGATTTTGCTGGTCTCGCTGAGACAGGATTTCGCCAATCAACATTCGTAAACCAGCGGCAGCAGGTGATGCTGATACGCACCAGGCCTGCGACCTTACCACGGCACGCGGCTTGCGGTGCAGCTGCGGCTGCAGCGCTGCGGGAAGGCAGACGTCACTGCACGTCATTAAACGCCTCCGGCCTGTTTGATCACGTTGACCGTTGCTAATAGATGCTGAACATGTCGCCCTTACGTCACCTGTGGTTGTGTCATATGCTGGGCGCATGCAAAGCACAACCCGCACAGCCCCACCGGCGCCAAAGGCGCCGGCCCCAAGATTGGGCCCTGGCGATTGACCCCAGTTTGCCGCCCAGGACATGTGTTCCTTTTCGGTTGCTTTAAATTTGATGCTGTCAGCTGATATCCATCAGATGCACAACCTCAATCTGGAGACACACACCAGGCCCCTCGCGTGCCGATGCCGCCAGCGCGACGCCCACAGCAGCGCGCCTGCGGAGGGCGTGCACGCGCGACAGCCGGCAAACAGTCGCACTCTGCGGGCCGACGGCCCCGAACACCATTGCTGCCCGCTGAGTCCCAAAACATGACAACGCGCACGCGGGTGTGCCAGCTGCAGGCGGCACACAGGCGCCTGACGTCTGCCGAGAGGATTGGCATTTGAAATGGATGCTTGGACCCCTCTGCCCGGCTTCTTTTCTGCCATGTCTTGAACCCTGGTGCACCCAACCAACACGAATTTGCAAGGAATCAAGCCCCAAGGATGTGGGGTTGCGTTACAGTGGTTGAGCGCTGGTCTCTGCTGCGCACCCGCGCTCGAGCCGGCACGGATGGTGGGCGGCGTTGGCCGGGCGGGTTTCTTGGTTTCAATGTCAGCTGCCGTCGCGGTGTCCGGCTGCGTGCAGCCGGCCGTAAGCGCGGCGGTTACTTGAGTATCTGCCGCAGGGCACTGTCAACATCGGTGTACTTGAACCTGTACCAAGTTTTTTTGGTCGGGAGGTTGTGAATGGGAGGTTTGAAACAGGAGAATCCAATTCTTATGGGTTCAAGGCGCGCGCGGGGCACCAGTGCTGCGAGTGAGTGGGGGTTTGGCTCGGCGCCGCCGGGCATCAACGGCGCGAGGGGACAAATGGTGCAAAAACGAGCTGATACACAAGCAGGGGTCAAGCGGGCGCCGACGCGGCGTCCCGCTGCGTGAAGCCAGGCCTCGACAGCAGCGGGCGTGAGCACGCGGCGTTCCCCGGCCGCCACCATCGCCAACGCCTTGACGCGCGCACAGCGCGCAGCGGGCGGGGCCGTGTGGTTTGCTCTACTCGCGCAGCAGCATGTTTGCAGCCAGGGGGAGGGAGGGTGGTGTTTTGCTGCACTAAACGCATCCTCACGCACATCTCCATCTGCGCGCACCTGAAGCCCTGCTCCTGGGTGCGGTTGGGCAGCACCTTCTGGCCCTCCAGAACAACCTTGGATCGAGTAGAGGGATCGAGGCGAGGGTGAGGTGTGCGGAATACCAAGAAACAGCGGAGGTCCGAGGGTCGGGGACAGGACGCCCGGCAGCGGGCGGAGCGGCGGCTTGAATTTGGGGCAAGGAAAGGAGGGATCCGTTGCGCGTGCCGCGTGTGCTCGGGGCCGTCACGGGCGGCGCAGCCCAGCGGATGCAAGCAAGGCGCAGCGGCGGCGGCGGCTGTGGACAATGGGAGGGCAGTCCAAGTTGTGCGGAGGGCACGGGCTGCTCGCCACGTTCCTTTGTTGAAGGGCGGGATGGAAGGGGGGGGGGTGGCGTGAGATGAATTCTAAGCGGGGGCCTCACCTTGGCACCCTCCCCCAGCAAGACGTTCAGAGCAAAGTCTGTGGGTGTGTCGGGTGGGGGAATGAGTGATTGCGTGTGTGTGTGTGTGTGTGTGTGTGTGTGTGAGTGAATGTTGCATGTGTTTGTTTTATGTGTCTGTGCGTGGCCGGCACGGGGGGCAATGGTTCACATGATGGAGGTGTGGGTGTGCATATTGGGTCAGTGGGGAGGGACAGGCAAGGCAGCAGAGATCCCCAGCGTTCGTGTGAGCAGCAGCAGCAGCAGCAGCAGCAGCAGCAGCAGCAGCAGCAGCAGCGGCAGCAGCGGCAGCAGCGGCAGCAGCGGCAGCAGCGGCAGCAGCGGCAGCAGCGGCAGCAGCGGCAGCGACAGCAGCGCAACGCCAGCTGAGTCTGCGGGGCGGGTGCGCGCCGCACCTGGCACAGGCAGCCAGCTGCAAGGGGGGCAGGGGCGGGGAGAGAGAGGCCGCAATAGGGGTTGTGAGGCGCGAGTGGGGGGGGGGAATGGGAATGAGCACGCAGGTTGAGTTGAAGCGAGTGACATTTCCGAGCAGAACGAGTTGCTGGGTCACATGGCGGGGGTGAGTTTGTGGAGAGAAGGGGGCGAGGAACGGCGCCAGGGCAGCCACGCTGAGGTGGCATCAGTGGAGCCAGAAGCAAAGCCAGCCGGCCCCACCACCGACGCCACCCGGGTGCCTCGCGCGCGCTCATGGTGGGCGGGCCGGCGTCCGCCAGCAAGAGAGCAAGATCTGCAGGGTGTGCCCCGCACGTCCCAAGATCTGACCCTCACCCCTCCCAGCCCCCAAAAACAGCAAAAACAAAGCAAGGGGGGCGGACCTGGGGCGTCCGAGGGCGCCGCCCACGGAGCTGCAGAGCTGCGCCATTGTCACAGGCTTGGGGGCGGTCCCGTTGTAGGCCCCCTTGTAGGCAGGGTTCTGCGGGGTCCCAAGGTTTGGGTGCCCGGGGTTTGGTTTCGGGGCGTCGTGTCAAATGAGGGAGGTGGAGAGGGGTTTGGCGTGCTGGTTCACCAATGCGCTTTGGGTGCATCGAAAGTGGCAGGGTATGAAAGGGTGTGATAATAGTGGCTTTGAATGTGGGGCAGGTGACGCACGGGGCCAGCAGGCAGCAGCTGGCCTCACCGCTTCGCCCTCTGTCCTTTCCCCACCCACCCACCCGCCCACCCGCCCATGCGTGCACGACGCGCTGTTTACCTAAACGATTGCTCTCCAAGTGTACGCAGCTTTTGTGTGCTTGTGTGTGTATATGTGTATGGGTGTATGTGTGTGTCCATGTAAAGGCCCCGCCAGACACACACACACACACACACACACACACAAACCACTCACACACGCACACACACCACCCCCTTGACCCCCTTCCCACATGCACACATGACGTGACAATTTATCC